TCCATTTTCCGTATGCTTTGTGCGGGGTTCTTTATCAAATTTCAAGAGACTGATATTTTACAAAATGTCTATCGAGGAACATCTAGCAACACTATAGTGAACATCATACTGGGATATCATGATTTTTGCTTTAGCGTCAGGAGAGAAAAATGAGACTAGTTCTTACCTTCAAGTGTAGATGACCATACATCGACCTGTGCGACATCTACTGGTCTATTATGTGGAAGGGAGGCATATCTGGTCAATCCCAGTGTGATCAACTTTAAATTTTTCTATGAAAGAGCTCTTTTCCGTTATAAAGGGGTTTTTAGGGGGAAATTTTATTTTTATACACAAAGAATGTTTTGCGTTTACAACATTAATTGCAGTCAGTTGCCAAATTTGATATGAGAGGAAAATAGAGTCTATTTTGAATCTGTTTGACGTTGACAGAAGCTAACTACGCATTTCAGTGATATTCAAGAAAAAATAAAATTTCAATTCAAAACAGAGGGGAATTCAGAAGAAAAGTTTCTTGTGAAGGCCCCTCTGTAGTAGCGTAACTTTTATTAAAAAATCAATATAATACAGTATTTACAAGCAAAACAAAATGATTGCGCGCGACTGATACTCTATAGCAAAAGTACAAAATAAAATGTAACTTTTCATACACAACGAGAAATAGAACATTATATGCCCATCTATCTATCGAGACAAAACACAAGAGATGTAAATGGTACATGAAATGTAATGAAGAAAATATCAATTAATTATTTCGCAAGATTCAAAAGGCGGAATGTAAGAAAACTTTAGATATGAATATTTCGATGAAAATTGCTTAATGAAATAAGACAGCACAAAGTGCCATCTATTACCAGAATCGACCACTGCGACATTGGATAGCAGCTAATGGTTGGAACTGTAAATATCTCAATTCGCGTTTAATAGGCCAGTCTCTACTGTTACCACTATTTAGTTTCTTAATGAGTTTGGATCTTGGATATTACGTACATATTAGAAGCAAGAATTTTGCTGCCTTCTTGCAAGAATAATCACAAGAGATATTTAATACATAATTATTTGACATTCATCTTTAGTATAATTTACTTACTGACTAAACAGGATTAGTATACTCTATGGTCGTAGAATACAAAACTTGTGAAACATTACATCTCGTACCATACCTAAAAAGAGTATATGAATTCGCATATTTGAATGTAATTGACCATTCTAACAAAATAAATGCACTAATAAACTTATATTCCGTAACGTGTCAAAAATAACAATAGGATATGCTCTTGAAGTTAGGAGTTTACATTGCACAGCTTATAGCTCTTGTAAGAATAAGCAAGTTGTTCTAGTAACATATGCAAGGAAAGGGTTAGTTGACAGATACGACATATGCCAGTATAGAACCCAGGTGCCCCTTGCCGCTTAGGTTAACCAAACTGTTTGTTCATAAATCCAGTTATCCAATTTAACTTTAGCTTCAAAACGCTGCTGATGTTTGGCGATTGTATTCATATCATTCTCCTGAAAATTTCTGTTCCGCGCCGCGTATCTTTGTATATCTTGTATAAAGACCGTTTGTAGTTACGTAAAGGTGGACTTAACAGAAGACCTACAGAACCTGGAACGTTTTTAATTGAGAAAGAGGCAAGGGCGTACCAGGTGGGGCAAGCGACGGCGGTTGCCGCCCTTTTCTCTAGCTTGGCAAAAATTAAATGTAGAGAAAATTTTTAAACAAAATTAAATTTTTCATGTACATGATTCTCCACAAGCTGAATCAATATCTATTAGATAAGAAATTCCTAGGATTAGTTCAAATCAACGTTAGATGCAAACTTACTTTTGATAAAAGCACTATGTATGTTACGTGTGTTTCAAATTCGAACCTCGTCTTTGGGATCTCGAAAACGCAGTAAAGTGAATATCACACGATCAGTATTTACTGTGGTCCGTACCATCAGTGGATTTCTGCATAACATCAATAAATAATTACTGATGTCCAGGCTACACGGTCAATAACTATCACATCTCATGATAAATATATGACGCGGAGTACTTTATGCTAGCAAGTTGCGTAGGTAATTAAAAAAATGGAGTTTTGACAGTTTGGAAATTCATAATAATTCAGTGCGAAACAACACTCTTCCAACATACGTACTGTCTAAAAACTTCAAACAAATTGTACAATAACATTACCACTTTTTCTTTTCTACACGGTGGCATAATTAGAATTTCGATCTGACGTTTCAGCTCACAGTAATTTAAATTTTTTTGATATCTTCATGATTACCCTTAAATAATATAAATAAGTTACGCTATATTGTTCCTCATTCGATGAGTTTTAAGCAACTGTGAAGTTAGGCACTTGAAGTTTTATATCAATGCGTAACATGTTATCATCTTTGATATTCTATAAAATAAATGACTATATGATCCTTTCAAGGCTTACTCAAGCAAAACATTTTTGATAATAATGTGTGACATGCTATATTATTTGAAACCAGAATTAACAGCTATTCGCTTATGCAAAAATGGCATACATAATAAGAAAATTCAAAGTTGAGTCGCGGGATACGAAAAATCATATTTTTGTGCTATTTATGCCACCAATGTAAATGTGCAATTTATTTTGAAATCCTATCTCAAAAAAAAATTCAGAAGATATTAGAAACGACTTTGAGAAAATTCGTTCCCTTTTCCGTGTATCTCTGGAGATACTAGAAACGTCAAAACTTTCAAACGTATTTTCTAAAATACATAAATACTCAACTTTGCCACCATTCAACCGATCCGAATCTCTTACCGTTTGAGAGATCTCAATGGTGAAAGTATGAATAATTTGTTTTTCTAATCATTCTAGAATAAACTGGGTACATATCCTTCAAAATAATCTATAAAACTGTTTTTGGATATATGACGAAATTTTAAGTAATTGTAGAAAAACGACGAATAAATCGTCACCTGAATGCATAACTATTGTATGTCCAAATTCTCCGTTTTTCAGATTTTAACACGACATTGTAGCTCATAGTCCCCTACATTGCATGCAGAGATATTGTAAGTCCCTGCGCAAGCGTTTTCCCACCACTCATCTTAAACGATATTTGGCGTAATAGCTTGAAGCGCATAATTTCATCATTTCGCTGCAGAACTATCATAAGAACAGATGATCCCTTACTGAACTATTGTAAGTCCAATGTCAGCAACAAATATAAGTCCATTTTCACGGACTTGTCATACTTTTTTTCCAGTAAAGCATTCTATGTCCAAAATTTCTTAGAAATATTAGGCAAGACAAACACTAAAAATAGCTCTCCCGTAAAATTTGCATTTTGTAACTTAGAATACTTCTGCATTCAAGCGACGAAATATCGACAAAGAAAAATTATTTCCGAAACTAGTATTATGTACGGTGTTCCATTTAAAAATCGTTTTTGTTGTCATGTCCGTATGAATCATCTTGTAGGGAGCGGTATATTCCAAGTCCACAATTTTTGTAAATAAAATTTTTATTTGTTTCATAGTGATGGATTTTAGATACTAAAAACCCACTGTGTATGCCTAATTTGTTGCAGCAGTTGTGTCGCTTGATATCTTGCGCATTTTTAGAATTTTTTTCGATGGCTTTTAGGCTACTATTTCATATTTACTCGTATGCATTTTCCGTCAAAAAAAGAAACGCTTTTTTACTATAACCAATTAACTGTTGCAACATTTTGAAGGTGTTTCCATCCATTTCTCAGTTCTTCTATAGACCTGTAACTTTGAAGTTTGATAAAAAAGTTACCCAGAATTTTTTATTTCGAGATAAGGGGCCTTTCTGTACAACATGGTTCACATATGGCTCACTTGAATGTTTCAAAAGAGTAATCCTAGTAGTTTTCTATATCCATATGAATTGTCAAATCGTCATAGAAGACTGTATATAAATGAAATGCAAATAGAAAGAAAAATATCAAGCAGAGTTATGTAGATATGCTTTGTAGAACTTCCACCGAAACATTTTTTGAATGTGCCCCCCTTACGTTTTGAGCTGGGTACGCCCTTGGAAAGAGGTTAATAAACTTGTGTTTTTAAATCGTAGCCTAGCATGTGTACTTAAGATTCTTTATCGAACGAACAGTAAATACTTGATTAATTGTTTCGTCCGAAAAGGAAAGTATCAACTCGATATATATATAGTAGTAAGATATAAGTCTGTATGATTTTGTGTTACTTTGGTTTTACACTTATTTGTAATTTAGCGGATTCTATTCATCGTATATTTTTTGGATGGTTTCAGAGACTCCGTTGATAAACAGTTTCACCTTTAATTGAAAAAATGTATCCTCAACATTCTATTTCTCGTATAAACTTCATCTTCAACTTCACCCAAACTGCTTCAACTCCTTCTCCTTTCTAGCTTGCTCCCTGTCAATCCTCATCTGTTGCTTCTCCAACTCGGCAGATTCCATCTCAGTTTCCGCTACTAGCGCCCTCAATCTAGCCACTCTAGCCTCCCTAGCAGCTTGTTTCTCCTGCATAGCTTGCATCTCACCCTCAATGTCCTCAATCCTAGCCTTCGTCTGTCTTGCCCTAGCAGCTGCGGTACTATGAGAACTCTCTAGAGATACTTCTTCCTTTCTAGAGGAAGCTCTGACTGCAGTTACGGCAACGTTGCTTTCACTCTCTTCTCTGCGATTGTTTCTGAGGCCGTTCTCGACGGGGACAGCCCATTTGACGTGGCTACTCATATCCTTGAGAGCCTTGCGACTTGGTTTGAGCTCTTCATCTGTGGCTTCAGCCATCATGCGGCGTCTGGAGTAGCTGTCGTTGATGCCTACGGTGTCCAGGAGCTTTTCGGAACGATCTAGCATGCGGTGAGTTTTGAGATTGTTGGAGGTGCTTTCGAGGTCCACGTCGTTGTGTGCGGCCATTTTGTTGGCGCGGAAGCGTCTTGACGCAGATAGACCCTGTAATGAGAAAAATAGAAAACTTTGAGGATGTTCAATTTTCGTTAGCGTTTTTAATAGCGCTTGACTGCACTTTTTGCAATAAAAATCAGACATCGAAGTTATGACCGCGGTGATAAAAGAGTAGACCCACAGAGTTTCAAAAACATATCACATGATACGTTTGGCTACTTATTTCCTAGAAAATTCCTCAGCCATCATGGCGATGAAGTAGCGAAATACTACTTTTCTATATCCAGACAACAGCTTCAGTTCGATACTGGCACTGCATCTGGATAGTCAGTTTGTCGCGTCTTTATGATATTAGATACATCCTTGCATAGGAGATATGAATGAAAAGTTAATGAAAGGAAAACCCCGTTGGGTCATATCACTGCCTTCTTCAATAGTTAAGGGAGTGTTAGCAGATATGTTACGAACTGTGAGTAGTAACTGATATTTCTAAATCACGAATCACAACAGTTACCAAATACAGTGAAACAGCGTGACGCGATCACGACTGCGGGAACTAGATGCTTCACGGCAACGGTGAATGGCACTATGGCATCACGGTGTTAACGTTTGAATATGGGTGAGATACCCACGCGTAATATGGCCTGCAAGCGATATCGTCGCGGTATTTTCATATATCAGTACATATGCCCACAATTTCACCGTTATCCGAATTTCGCGATCAGGTCACGGTTTCAAAAACCAAAACCAAAACTTTCAAAATATCAGAAATTTTCAAAATTTTGAAAATTTTGAATTGTTCAAAGACTTTGAAATTTTGGAAATGTTGAAAACTGAATATTTTGCAAACTTTTGAAACATTGAAGACTGGACATTTCAAGTGTGGGAACTTTGAAAAAACAATACTTTAAGCATTTTCACCACTTTGATAAACTGGGAAATTTAAAAAAAAAATTACAGTTTAAAAATGTTAAAAACTGTTATGGCCTAGTGTGAAATGCTAATGTTGAATCTCTAATGACCCAAGCATGTGTTATTGTACGTTTAAAATCCAAGGGTGACCCCTCTCTTGACCGGCACACAGTGCATAACACATCAAAAGTCGACTATAAGTGTGTGACGTAGTGATGTGATTTTGGCCGATTACCTCCAAATTTAGGGTACGGAATCGCAAACCTAAAAACTGGAAACAAGATAGCAAAGGTGTTACAGTACAATGTCTGTCCCAAAAATAACCAGAGTTAGTCATGGAAACCAAAAACAAAATATCACATGAATATTGATCCAAAACACAAGAACAAAATACGGAGAGATACAGAAAGAATTGTGGAGTTTTGAGTAAGAGCACACCAAATTCTTCTTTAAAGTCATTTTTTATTATATTTGGGGCATATCGAAGCAGTTTTGATAGATTAAATAGTAATTCTAAGTACGTTATCTACATAAACCCACTCTAAGTATATGAAACAATATCTATTTGCAATCACTTTCATAATACAAAACTGGATCTTTGACAATATAGTTTACGTTTATACTGTATGTGTTTTTATAATTTCTCGGAATTGCTGAATACAAAATATTGTTTTCATTTGAGAGTACTGACATCGTAAGCCTGTAACAGAATAAAAATCCAAATCGCAGTCTCATAGGATCTTCACTACAATGCTATACTACGGATTCTTGAAAATAAAGCATATATTATTGAAAAAACTGACAAAGATGGATAGTTAGGTAGTCACAAATGTAGAGGTATGAGTTGTGAGGTGTTGTGAAGAATGTTTGATGTGACAAAAACATACTAACCTGAAAATGTTATAAATTGATCGTCCTTAGCTCAATTTTACATAGATGTCCTGTATACAGTTTTAATTGGCTTTATTTTCATCACCTTGTCCAACTTAAGTGAGGAAAGTAATGTGCTTGAAATCAAGCTTATGTAGACATCACGTATGGGAAAAGCTTCTTTACAAGAGTCTTCAAGTTTCATTGTAAAACTACCACTTGTGAAAAAATACTCACAATGTCTTTATACTTGACTTCCAAGGTATAGGGCATGTTCTAGCAATGATTTTCCAACGGTATACAACCGTCAAATTCAGTTGAACAACCGAATTTAATAAAATGTTACTCAGCTCTAAGCGCCAAACTAATTTGTTAGTTAAGCTGTTGCTTCCTACTATCGACAACTACCAGAAACTCATTTCCAGAACATGTCTATACAGTGCAGCATTTTGTCAGTCTGAAACTTGATGGCTTTCTAAACAGTATTGGAAATAAACAACTTGAAAATCCTCGCAAATACCTCAGTGCTCAACTCATCAATATCAAACGCTTGTACTAACAGAAGTATATTATTCCAAACAAAAGTATACATTTCAATAGAAACTAAAACAAGTTAATAAAACACCTATTCCTATATTTCAAAACCACCCAGATATTGTGTAACTAACAGATAAAGGTAAACGCTGTTTGAAATAAATCCTTTTTTGTAATGTGTTAACAATGTGCAGACACGACAGTTTTAAGGGTTGCTCTAAATATGAAAGCGAGTCTGACGGTTAAAATGCAAAAAAAATGTGAAATGCATTTTTAAATGCGATAAGCGATAAAGATTGTCATATATATATGTATAGTCAAATGTTATGTTCACTGATTCCTCAGTCGATACAGACAGTCATTCAGTGAGACATATTCATACTTGTACGGGAAAAAACATCAACATCTTTTGATAATTTTCTCAAAACCGTCATCTCACACTTTCATTGCACAGAATTTAGCATAGCGAAACTACAAAATAAAAGTAATGTGTAGTTTGAATGAACAGTTGTCGAATTAATTTGCTGAATAGTAAAGATGAATGAAAGTAGTATCGCCAAGCTAATGATGAAAAAATAAACAAACAATAATTAAATAGAAAAAAGAAGCGACACATTCTCGCAGTTGTTTTTGAATCTTTCTTGCAAGGTGTTCAAAAAATCCCTAATAAGACTATTTTATGTCTTACTAATGCTACACAAGCTTAAATGATAAATTGATTGCAACTCAGTTAGTAAATTTAAGGTCAATTTGAATCTTCGCAATTGCAAAGAGTGTAAAAGTCTTTAATCACCAAAAAGGGCATTAAAAAGACTTAATTATACATTTTACAAAGTCGTCTGTTTATTGATGGCCTTGGTACTGAGTTTAAGTTTTTATCCTGTGTCAAAGTTTATCTATCTATACATTTCCACTACTCCGTCTTCCTTCCACAAGCAGTCCTCTAACCTTCAAAGTATCTCAAGATCAAAAACAAAAAATGCCTTGGTTGGGTAAATACTAAAAGAATAGAGAAGATGCCTGAGATGTCCTAACTACCCGCTGGTGTTTTTAGAATTGGCATTGAACATCAAGCCTGTTTCAAGGTCAAATCAACTTTTCAATCCGGAATGATTTTTCCACCGGAAGAAGATGAGCAGATCCTCAGAATTCATGGTGATAGAGAGCCAAAGCTTGCTACTATTTTGATTTCTAATTCCAAAAAATAAAGATGAGAGCATTCATCCAACGTAACGGATTGTAGCGCTTTTATGGTGAATAGCGATAGCCATGAGATAGATTTATCAGGTTGACTGCAGTTTTGACTTTGCTATCCAATTTGATAGTTTGCTGACTAAGGCCCACATTTATAGTTGATCCTTGAGTCCCAATTGGGGGCTGATCAGTCCTCGGAATTTGAACAAATAGCAACACTCTCAAGTGGAAGCTTAACATTTGCACGTTACAGACACAAGAGACTTTCAAGGTATTTCTTTTTTCATTTTACAAATTTTCAGTACTTTCAAAATATTCTAAATTTTACAAATTTTTGATTTTCAAACTTTATAAACTCATCAATTTACAAATTTTCCAGTTTTTTATAATTCCCTTGAATAGCCAGATTTAAAAATTTTCAAATTGATTAAATTACCAAAATTTAAAAAAAATGTAAGATTCGCGAATTATTTAAAATTTTCAAAACATTCAATGTTTACATATTCAAGGTTTTCAAAAGTTCCAAAGTTCTCAGGTTTCAAGGTTTTCAAAATTTTCAATTTTGTAAACTATAAAAATCTTGACTTGTCTGAAAAATCTGAACACCCTTGATGAGAACTTGAATCCCCACTTGCGAATCACACAAGGGTGCGTATTATTGTTCAACATCCAAGGTTTGATCAACCCTCAACCGGCACTTGGCCATTAAGGGTCGATTATAAATGTGGATCTTATGGTGAGAACTGCCAAAGCTATTTCACGACTACTGCTTTTCAGCATGAAAGTGCTGTACCTATGGATCGCATTATGTTGGCTGAACGCGCTCAAAAATGACAAATAAAGCTAGATTCTGTATTTATAGACCTACGACGGTCCCTCATACATAGTATGCACTTGCTCAGGCTCATCAAAGGCTTAATGAGGATACCGAATGCCAAGTAAGGTTCCTTGCATATTGGACCTCTGAGTAGTTATATCAAGAGAAGGCAGTTAAACAAGGCGAGTAAATTAGAGAAAGTTAAAAGATGTAAGCCAAAACATGGCGTCCACAAAGCGTTTTCTAAACATTTTATGAGCAGAATGTCGAACTATCTATGAGCGAATCGCCAAGCCAAGGATAGCTCGCTGTTTTTTGTAAGCTGGTAATAGTCGAATGGCCGACCGCAAAGTTTGGGTTACATCGCGTACTGATGTGATACGTTAAAAACTAGTCAAATCTTACATATTATGATGCCCAACAACAAATTTGCTGTTTGGCTGACTATTTTTTATTGTATCATATCATTACGTGATGAGGCAACTAAAACTTTGCAGTCAGCTCCCCAAATCTGGTCACACTATGGTTTCTTTCAACACCCTGTATATGAATGTGACTATCTATATCTATCCGAAAAAGCGTCGCACCTCTTCGTCGAACTGTTGTTCCATGGAATTGGCAAGTGCCTGTGCTCTAGTGACGCGTCCTCCACGGGAATCAAACAGATGCTCTTCGCGAATGTGGGAGGCAGCACGACGTCTGGAGGCGTCTAAGTCTTCGTCGGCAAAAATGCGGGCGTGTCTGTCTGCTATGTCAGCTAAAGTACAAAAAAAGTTTGTCAGAGGGTTATTAATTCATAATATACTAAGTGACATATAAATCTGAACACCCAGTTAAAATGGTTTTATTTTAATAAAAGTTGGTGAATGTATTTATCTTACTGTAAATAACAAGTGAAAACATTTTCAGCCTTATCAGTTGGACATTCCGGTTTTTATACTGCTTTTTTTAAATTCAGTAAGGCTCTAAAAATGAATATTTCAGCCGCAGTAAAGAATCAACGTTGGCGGATTTTGGTTCTTGACATCCTTTACGATCGGTTATGATGCCTAGAGTACGGAGACCTGTACGATTTCGCCAACTTAGTGAGTTTGATAGAGGCCGTATAGTGGGACTTCGGGAAGCTGAACTTTCTTTTCGGGCAATTGCAGTTAGAGTGCAAAGAAGTGTAGACACAGTGGTTAGGTGTTGTCAGGCATGGCTTCGAGAAGGCCGTACGCAAAGAGCAAGGGGCACTGGACGCCGCCGTAGAACAACAGACCGTGAAGATCGCCGCCTAAGATTACTGGCCTTAAGGGACCGTTTCTCCACTACCAGGTCCATTGCAAATGAATGGTTTGCAGAACACGGAAGACCTATTGGCATGCGAAGTGTTTACCGACGAATGAGAAGTTTTGGCTTGTTTTCATACCGGCCACACTGGGTCCTCCCTTTAACTCGAGAACACCGACGTAATCGCCTTGAGTGGTGCAGACAACGGTCACTCTGGGATCAGGAATGGAACAGTATTGTCTTTAGTGACGAGTCTCGATTTTGTTTAGGCATGCACGATGGTCGTGCCAGGGTTAGAAGGCGACGTGGTGAAAGGAGGAATCCACAGTTTTTTGTTGAAAGACATGTTCATCACACTGTTGGAGTTATGGTTTGGGGTGCTATAGCTTATGGTTCCAGGTCACCTTTAATCTTCATCAGAGGTAACATGAACGCGCAGTTCTAGAACCCCATCTTTTACCCTATCTTGACACCCTGGCAGATCCAACTTTCCAACAAGATAATGCCCGACCACATGTTGCAAGAGTCACAATAGACTTCTTTCAACATAATGATGTCACATTGTTACCATGGCCACCAAGATCTCCCGACTTATCCCCAATCGAGCACGTGTGGGATATGATGGGTAGGATATTGCTCAATTTGCAACGTCTCCCTCAGACTCTAGAAGCACTTCGAGAGGAGTTGGTGGTTGCCTGGAATGAGATACGACAGGAGGACATTGACCACCTGATCAGAGGCATGCCTAGGCGCGTTGGAGAATGCGTAGCACATCACGGTGCATCCACACATTATTAAAGGTCAAAGGGCTTTAAAGCAGTGCAATCATTTTGAAATTTTTATCATTTACTTATTATGCCTCATTAAGTACTTATACAAAATTTTAATAAAATAATACCATTTAAACTGGGTGTTCGGATTTATATGTCACATAGTATAGTTGCATGTTCACCAACGTGCAAGATCGCAGCTCTCACTGAGAACAAAATCAAATCGTTCAAATAAAAAGTTTCAACAAAAAATCAAAAAAACTAAATTTCTCACAGGAATGCGAGGTTCTTGCCTTGTCAATAATGTAACGTAGAAGCGCTAGCTCGGTGGTCAGCGCGTCGAGCCAGCCACCCGGGGCTCGCGCGTTAGAATCTCCGCCTCGGAAGTTAATTTCTTGCCAAGGATGTTCTGTTGTCGATATAACACACATGGTGCAATATTAGTAATGGTCTGGCATCACATTTCCATTTCTAGTATGGGATTGCGTGAACGCTCTCAAAGAGCAGGGAAACCGAAACAAGACAACATTGCTCTGGGTACCAGAACGTGACGGACACAAAGGAAATGAAAGACGGGTGAGCTAGCCCGACAGGGTGCGGTCAATCGTCTTACAGGTCCAAAGCCTTTCTATGGTGGGGCGAGAACACGCACTAAACAGACCATAAGAAATTGGACCAAAAAAGTCTCTAGAATGGTGGAACAGCCAATTGGGGCAAAGGCAGGCAAAAGAGTTCATCAAAGAACAGAGACCCGAATTTACACAGGACCTACTCGGATTCAATAGGAATGATATAAGGGTCACAGTGGATCTCCTAACAGGACACTACACTACATATATGAGGCTCTTGGATATGGCAGAAGAGGTCACATGCCGTTTCTGTAGAGAGCATGAGGAAACCCCAGCGCATCTCATGTGTCACTGTGAAGGACCGACAAGGCTACAGTTTCAGATAGTAGGTACCACAGGTCCAACAAATGTGATGCTAGAACATTACTATTAACAGGTACATCTCACCGCTGAAGCTGGTTTATTATATCAGTTACCAGTACATAGCTCTTTTTTATATTCCAACTACCACGAAGACCTAAGGCGTAAACCCCCATGGGGTACTGTGAGGCTATAGGAGGATACGGGCAAAAGGGGGTACGCCACACGGACATGCACACATTCTGGCCCCGCCTACGAGATTCGCCGGGTGGCACCTCTGCGTTCGACAGTCTGAGACCCTCTACCACCCACAGACCACAACATCCATAGCCAAGAGAAAAATTTCTCATAGGACGGGATTCGAACCCGCACAGCGCAGAGTCTACTACTGCGGCCACCGCCGCTGCCTTGAAATATGAGGAGTTACCCAAAAATTACCGGAATAGCATTGCAGTGGGCGGAGCTTGTGTAGTAGACATTTCTGCCCCTAGAGGCGTACAGCGCAACTCATTACCAGTACAGTGCCACCTAAGTTGTCGATCTGGCTTGTTTCGTTCCTCTGTCGTCATTATTTTTGCTAGAACTTTTTCGTGCTTGTTTCGTTTTTGACGATGGCAAGCTTCAGTGAGCAACGTGCAGCTGTGAAATTTTGCTTTCTAATTGGTAAAATAGCTGCTGAAACTGTTGAAAATAGCTATCGGAAAAACCAGTGGTTTGCTCGATTTAAAAATGGCGACATGTCGATTGATGACCAACCTCGCTCTAGACGTTCATCAACTGCCCGAATCGACGAAAATGTTGAAAAAAATCGAGAGCTTGTGCTTGCAGACCGTCGACTGACAATCGATCAACTATCCGTAAGTAGTGGGTTGTCCTGGAGTTCGGTTCAGCAAATTTTAACAGAAGATTTGAGAATTAAAAGGGTTGCTGCCAAGTTCAATCCTCGGTCTCTGACTGACAATCAAAAAGAACATCGAGTTGAAACATGTAGTGCTTTGAAACAACAGGTTGAATCAAATTTTCTGTCAAAGATCATCACTGGTGATGAGACTTGGTGCTACGGTTATGACCCAGAAACGAATCAACAGTCAAGTCAATGGAAGACACCATCGTCACCCCGTCCAAGAAAATTCCGTCAAATCAAACATCAAAACAATGCTGTTTTGTTTTTTTTTATGTCAAATTCCGAGTTTGTTCCCCCAGGTCACACTGGCAATCAGACCTTTTATTTGGAGGTTTTAAGACGCTTGCGAAACAGTGTTCGGAAAAAAAAACGATTTGTAGCAGTCAGGAGACTTGTTCTCCCACCACGATAATGCACCTGCGCACACAGCCATCTCTGTTCGACAGTTTCTGGCTAAAAATGGCATGGTTCCGCTGCCTCACGAACCTTATTCGCCTAACCTGGCTACGTGCGACTTTTTATTATTTCCACGGATCAAAAGGGGCATGAAAAGACAACGCTTTGACGAAATTGAAGAGGTCAAGAAAAAAACGAGGGAGGCGCTGTCAGATTTTACTAGGAAAGACTTCAAAAAATGTTTCGAGCAGTGGAAGCACCGGTGGGACAAGTGTATTAGTTGTAGTGGACAGTATTTTTAAGGAGATTAGGTTACTTTGTGGAAAAGTTGAAAATAATTAGCTTTTAAAAATAATTTCATTTTTTTTGGGTACCTCCTCGTAGTACAGTGTTGGTACTACGAGTATGGGTAGGCAAAAAGAGTCAAGGGTGGCATAGTTTAGAGGCTTCGCCTCCCCACTACTACTACTAACGTAGGGGCAGTTGAAATACTCCATGGCTTTGTTCCAACAAAGCCGTGTACCGTACAGTGAACCGTCGTGAGCGTGCGCAGTACGTTTTAAGTGACACTAGGACATTATGATTCACTGTACGGTACAGGGCTTTGTTGGAACGAAGTCCATGACAACACGTCACGACTCCGATATTCTAATTCAGAGTTGCATCTAAGCACTGTCGTAACCCCAAGCATGGCCAATTTAGATTTGGACAGAGATCGCGCGACAAGTCCACTTCGGCATCTGTGCTTAGGCACTCTGGCACACGAGGGACGTAGATTCGGGTTGCCTACAATTATGTGCACACATTCCTTTTTCGGCTTCCCCTATATTGGTTTTGCCCTATTTCATTGAATATTAATTAAAATTCCAGGTGATGAGGCTTGAGGTTCAGGGGTAAAACAAAAAATATTCAGAATCTTAGAAGCAAGATTTGCAGCATTAGTTTGCTTAACAACATCGCGTCTTGTACATTCCAAGACAAGGTTTTCACCTCCAGGATAGTCCAGTGCTATTAGCGTTTCTTTTTTCCAACGAGTAGTTGTTCACCTGTATGCCAACCACTCTCGTTAAAGACTTCACAACAATCGCTGTGTTCCATATTTTCGCTCATGGCTGCCTGTAAAGGCTTTTTCAATGAGGATGCATTAATGCTGATATATGATAAAACAAGTGGAGTATGGTGATATAATAACGAGATCCCTTCTTATTTGACACGGATTCAAGAAGTTCACATTTTAGTAACCCCACTTCGTGTCACAATCATCGTTTTCGATAAATTAGAAAAAGTATACAGACTCTAAAGTTTCCACGCCTTCGAAAACTTACAATGTACCTTACGTATGAAGATGAATTCTGATGTGAAGTCTCGAGCCCGACACGAATCTGCTGTCAAAAATGGTGGTTAGTATTATTTGAATTCACAAACTTGACCTCCAAATAACCTTTAAGGACATTCTCTAGGTCATCTTTGAGGGATCGGCAAGTTGCTCTTTAGATATCCTACAAGTTTTCTTAATACTGTCGTTCCAAAAATACTTGGGTGCCACGTTTTTGGGGTATTCGTGTACTTTTTAGACGATATAGTAGGTCTTGTTGATTGAGCCTCTATCATCCCTTGATCCCATATATGAAAATGCATTCTGATGTGAAATCGCGAGCTCGACACGAATCTGCTGTTAAAAATAGTAGTTGCTATTCGAATTTACAAAGTTGACCTTCAAATGACCTCTCGACGGTGGTATAGGCTTTCCTACATTTGGCAACAATGTAAGATCTCTCAAGGCTGTTCTATTTCTTATTTCGTCATTCCTTTAAGCTTTAAGCGCATCCGTCAGTGGACGTCAGAGATTTTCACATACACTAGCGAACAAAAAGTAAATATGATACTATGTTACAGTAAGGCCACAAGTGCAGAAGCTGTCGTTGCCCAGTTTGTCTTTACGTACCCCAACCTTGCCCTGGTCCTTTCACGATTAGGAGCATTTTCCGAAACTTCGTCAAAAGTGGCAGCATCAACTTTTGTCGACATGAAGCGTGAGAACGGGAGAATGATGAAGAAGAAGAAGAAAATGTTATAGGGGACAAGGTTGCCAGGGTTTGTGGTTATGTCGGAGGAACACACACATTGAAGAGCTCGTGCCAGCGAGTCAAATTTGAATCTCACCGTATAGTTTAGCATGCACATCCAGCCAAATTGTGGAAATATCCATTTCCCTTGTGGGCCCCAAATAAGAAAAAATATTTACACATTCTAAAACTTAAAATCATTCCGACTTATGATTATCTTTCATCGTCTCAGTATTAAACTTCTTAAAGTGATATACTTACAAAATGGCGTAGGTGTACTGCGTACCGGTGACAACGGCCTTCCCGAATATTTTCTATCTAGCCTTTCCAAAGCAGGTCTGTAGTAGCTCTCGCCAATATTGTAGTTGGAGTCATACAGCTTGGTCCTAGGCCGACTCAGTATCGTCCTTTTCGACGACATCTTGTATCTAGAAGAAAAGTCACGGTCATATTATCACCTACTTATTGGCCCGAACTCATTCCTATGGATGTTTTTCAGCAAAGTTTTTGACTAAATCTGGTGCATACTACACTTAGGTTTCCGCTAATATTGATGAGAGGTCCTGAAAGTTCTATTTTCCTAGTGCAAATAAGTCTTCTCGGCACTTTATTATTTTTCGGTCACCATATTTCGAACATGGTTCTACATCCCGAAATACCTAGTGTACCGAGTCTCGTTCGCTTGTGAAAGCAGCAGTCTAAAAGGGACATTTTCTTTAAAGTATAAAGCTATTAAATTATATAAATACGTGATACAAGAACTGGTCGTTATGACCCTTCCTCTCTTCATCTTGTATATGGAAGAATCTATACCAAGAGATGAGGACCAGGAGAAACATTTACCAGCTACAAACTAGCATCGTTGAAACGGTTTATAGAAGTGGCTTTACTCCAGTGCCAGTGTTCAAACTTTGCCTTTCCAGCTATTTCAAAAAAAAATATACAGGGTGACTCAGTATTCCATGAACATAGAAGTACCACGTATTTTTAGACTCAAAATAAGTCGATTGGACTTGATTTATGTAAAAGTGCCTCGTTTGTCCTTAGACGGCATCAAAGTTTTATTGTTCAAACACATTTTTTAAGATACTTTAAGAACCAACAGTCCGATTTGAGTGAAACTTGGAACACATATGTTTTGCTAGACGTTCTAATATTTGACTTCTACTGAAAACTCTGAAGAGTACGAGAAGGGTAAAACAAAAACCTCCTCTACATAAATTATAGCATAATTTTTTGACAAAATTTCTCGACGACTCTGAATTTTTTTATTCAGCGGATGTTCTGATTCATTTTTTTAAACCGTCTTATTAATTTCTTGAATGTAGTTAGTGAAAATAAACAAGTATGATGTTACTTATTACAATTTTATCTATTACAGGCGATAGTGCGAATTGTCACCAAAAGGTGTTCAATATGACCACCATTTTCATAGCATAGCAATACAGCACAAAAAATTATAGTTAACTTTCTCCAAGATGTCAATATTCTTTAATGTACGAATATTTGTAGCATTTTTAATCCTATCTGAACCTCGTATACCTTTGTTTTTATTGCTCCCCATATAAAAAATCACAAGGATTATGATCTGGGTGACCATTGAATAAGAGCTTCTTGACCTCTATCGATCCATCCAACAGCAAATTTCTCGATCAAGTACTTTCTTACAGCACGCGCAAAGTGAGGTGGAGCACCATTATGCATAAAAAACATGTACCTTCTCACATTCAGACACCTTCGAGATTTTAACACTTGACGTAATAAGAAAATTTTATAGAAACCTGCTCCGAAAAACATTTTTTTTTATCGAAAACTATACGAGATGACGTGTTTTTATAATAAAAAAGTAAATAAATCGCTGAAATGAACAAAATTCAGAGTCGTTGGGAGAGTTCAGAAAAGATTCTGCTATAATTTATGTATGGGTGGAGGTAGTTCTCACTCTTCTGGAGCGCTTTCGGGTTTTTTGTACTCATGTTTAATAGACTCAACTTATAGAGTCTAAAAATACGTGGTACTTCTATGTCAACGGTATATTGGGAGACCCTGTTAAAATATCACCACCTGCTCAGTAAGCCGACTTCAATCCAACAGATCATTCCATAGCAAGCGCAAATAAAACTTATTTCTACAAGTGATGGTACGCAAGAATCCAGATTTGTCTTCCCAGCTATCCAAATTTAAAGAAAAATATAGCTGGAGTAGAATATCATCGGACACCTCGGTACTGACCCGACTTAAGTCCAATGGAAAATTCAACGATGAACAACTGCCCAGTCCCCCATGGTGTGCGTCAATTTTTCTTCATTAGAGTATAGTCGTGCTAATATCAATTGAAACAGCAAAAAATAGGAGTCGTCAAAAACGGTGTGAAATCCTATATGGCTAAGAAGTGGCAAAAATATATGAAACGGAATTTTACCATAGGCATCACCCTCAACACTGATGGAGTCCAATATTCCAGTATTTCCTTAGATTAGATGTATGTATTTCCGTACGTTTGATTAATTTAAATAGTCGATTTAATTCCCTAAAAATTGTTGGTTAACTGGAAACATACAAAAAACAATGTGACCGTGATTTTTGTCTCCATGTCTTTACTTTGATTTTTTATTGCTTATCAGTACAGAAAACATAAGTGAACCGTACTAGAAAAGTACAAAGATCTCAAAGTTTTAGTTTAGTTTTACAATATACGAGGGCGGATCAAAAAGTCCCTCAATTTTTTAATTAAACATTAGTTTTTGGTTGCCTTCCTGTTCATTAAAATTGTATACTTTCTTTGTAGGTAAATGTTGACTTTTCAGTACTGACTGTCCAAAAAAGGACGTCAAAATGACAGCCTTTCAAAGGACGTCTTGTTGTCGTCATGCAAACGAAGACAATAAAGTCGTCGTTATTTAGTCAATGACTTTTCCGACCAATAGTGACCGAATAATGACGTCATTTTAGCGTCATCATGTTCACTGGGATATATTCTGACAATTTTGAGCACTATTTCTAAAGCGAATAAAGTAAACATACAACGAACCATGGGAGTAACACATGACAACGCTCTTATTCCCAAGGTTTTGAGCACGAGAAAAAAGCGAACTTTTAACGTTCTAAAAGGATTACTTTGTTCTATTTCCGAACAACCACGTCAAACAATTATAAATGGTAAAATTGTTACAGAGTAGTACAACGTACACTTTGTAACAATTTACGAACGCAGCCCTGCTTGTGCGAAATTTGGCAGGAGTCAATTGACAGATGCTTGTTGACAGGAGCAGTGTTCTAGTTAAGAGGCGCGAAATTCAAAAAATCACGGACTTATCGACCCACCCTCTTAGCACAAGCTAATCTACTGATTAGGCTGCTTCCCTTCGCTTGCTAACCCTTGCAACAAACTGAGTTGAAGTGGTTAAAGTGGTTTGCAAATCTTTGTCACCATTATGGATGTTTTGAATATCTTATTCGTTCGTTTTCGATTTGTGTCATAATCAGTAGGAGTAAACAATACGAGAAATCATTGTATCTGATACTTCATTTCGTGAGTTAGTGTATTTTTTGTTACTGTTCTAACTAAAGCCGACATATCCTCTTTTTAAATATATTCATATGCAGTGTTTTTCAAAAAGCCCCCCCCCCACTTTTCTTTGAATGGGTCAAGTTTAGAAGCCGGAATTCGGGCCGCTATTTCAGGGTAAAAATGACACTTGAATATTTCACTTGAATATAATTTTAAGTCCTAATCTTTGGCAATGGCGTACTAGCGAGCTGTCGAAAGTTGAGCTTTTTTTTACATTAAATCGGTTACTAATAATCGAAACGCTAAAACATGTCATAATATCAACCTTATTCTTTTAGAACGGTCCAATAAAATATGCAATATTTATTTAAAAAATGGAATGAAATGGAATGGAATGTTCTATATCTTATTGCACATGTATATAAATAGACCCTTTTATATACAGAAAATTAGTCTAGTGTTTCATGACTGATTTTGGAAAATTAAATGTACTGTACAACGACTTTAAGTCCTAGGTTTATGAAGTACTCAAGAGAGGTTTCAAGATGAAATATCACATGACCATTCCTTCAATTTGAAAAAACTTTCCGACATTTTGAAATTTTTAACTGCAATAATTTAATCTCTCTGAATTTACCCATTGAAAAAAATGCATATTCAAGACGAAAACTCTGACACTGGATATGGAGGTATTTGTTGTTCTATTCAATCATCAGAAGGTGCTGTTCCAGATCTCCTACAACTCTGACTCAGTTGGTCTCCAAAATGTAGTGTTTCAAACAACTGGCCTGATGACAAAGTTCTCAATACTTACTCAGCGCGTTAGCTCACCACTAATTCCAACGTCGATAATGACGACTGACATACTCGTACATGGAGAGATTAGCCGCTCACAATCATGTCGCAATACAAATGCCCCCCCCTTCTAGTATTTCTTTTGCACACCTACGATAAGAGATTCGCCCTTATGCTCTGCTATACCACTTATCTATAAAGGAGTTCGCACTTTTTTACGACTCCAAGTTTTTTTGTGTTTCAATTGGCATAAAAATTTCTATGCTGACGTTACTTCATCCTTCAAGCTCTGCCTTCCTAGCTATTCCAATTTAAAAACATACCTGGAGTAGAATATCATCGCACCTCCTGTTCACTGACACGACCTCAATCCAACAGAAAATTCTATCGCGAACTGCCTGTCCGGAAGAATTCCCAGATAAACAGAGACACTAACCTGGTGCAACTAAAGACTAGCGGGAGGTGAGTACATCAAAGTTGGCGCTCCTGCGAAAATAATTGTGTGTTGTCTTGGAGGCACTCAACTGCCCTATTTTCGGTTGTTATTTTTATATTTAGTGCAAGGAGGTCGGGAGCGACACACAGCTGAATCATATTCTAGACCGAGTGGAAATACTTAATAGACTGGTTGACTTTTCTGGGTTTGAAAATTAATTGGGCTAATGAAATTTTGTATTTCTGAAGCTTGATGTCTGGATATAAGCAATGGAGAGAATTACCCTTGGGATTTAGGTGGAAATCTGGAAAAGAACATTCATTGGAGTTGAATCAACTCTGAATTGAATGTGTTTGTGACCCTTGCGACCAATCTTGGAGACACACAACCAATGATTTTGCACTAAGTAGAATGATCCCTACGATTTGTTTGTAGTCAAAATTGCATCAGTATTCAGGATGCAAGTTCACACTACAAGTCGATCAGGCTTAAGCCGCCACTTTGACAGTTGTTGACATTTCACATTAAATTCGTTCTTTTCTGAGAAAACATATAAAAGTACGTAGGTTACATAAAATCCTGATGTTCCAGTTACCGAAAAAGGCGAAGGTTCCTGTGGGTTGCAAAAATCAGTTTAAACTGACTTTCGTCGATAAGTGTCTGCGAAAGGTTGGAAAATCTCGAAA